TGCATCTTCACAGCGGGAAGCGCCCAGTTGGAGGACAACCGTTAGAAAATCCGGAATCGTGCCAGAGCAGAATTTATAGTGCTTCTTCGCCGCGAATCACCGTTACTGTTGCGTCTTGACGATATGGAACTGTGCCGGAACACCATTCTAGAGATTTCAGCACCGCGAGTCAATTTGACTGTTGCGCCCTGACATTCTGACATCGTGCCAGAACGCTATTCCTGGAACGTTGACCATGAACATCTTTGAAACTGCTGCGAACTCTTAAGACGAATGTGCGCGGCGGTAAGGCGAGAGCCACACTTTGAAAACGGACCGCCCTCCATCCGTGAAGCCGTTGCAATTTTTGAAAACGAATGTATGCGTTGCGGAGGCGAGAGCATACTTTAATACTGGACCGCCATCCGTCCGTGAAGCTCTTGCAAATTTTGAGAATAAGTCTGAGGCGAAACGCCCACAATTGGTACTTATCGCAGTCGTCGCCTTCATCGCCGCCGTCGTCGTTGTCGTCGTCCCCGTCGTCGGCGCCGTCGTCACTTCCGTCGTCGCCGTCGTCGTCGTCGTCGCTTTCTTCCTGGTCGTCGTCGTCCGCGTTGCCGTCGTCCGTGTCGGTCCTGTCGTCGTCGTCGTCCTCCGTCGTCGTCGTCGTCGTCGTTGTTGTCGTCTTCGTTGTAGTCGTCGGCGTCGTTCTCGTCGTCGTCGTCAGCGGCATCGTTCTCGTCGCCTCCGCCCTCGTAGTCGTCCATGTCATCGCCCGTTTCATCTATGACTCGACGTCGTTGTGGTCGTCGTCGGAGCTGCCATTGCTGTCGCCGTCGTCGCCGTTCTCGTTGTCCTCGTCGTCCTCTTCGTATTCGTCGGCGTCGTGGTCGTTGCCGTCGACACTGTCGCCGTCTCTAGTCCTTGTCGTCATCGTCGTCGTTGTCGTTGTTGTCGTCGTCGTCGTCCTCGTCGCCCCCGCTGATGGTCTTCATCGTTGCAGTCGTTGTCGTCGCCCTCGCCGTCGTCGTTGTCGTCGCTCTCGTCGTCGTCGCCCTCGTGGATATCCTGCTGGAAGGTCTGCGCACTACAATAAGGTCTCGTCTGGCCTGCCCGCCCGTAAGGATCCGCCCGCCCAACCCGCCGTTTAGGGTCCGCCCGCCCAACCCGCCTGCCCGTGCCCGCCCGCGCGACCTGCCGTCGTCCCCCTCAACCTCGACGTCGTCGTCATCATGGTCGTCGCCGCCGCCGCCGCCGTCGTCGTCATCGTCGTCGTCGTCGTCGTCGTCGTCGTCGTGGTCGTCGTGGTCGTCGTCTTCGTTGGCGCGCTCTTCCCGCTTCCGTCGCACGTGGCGAACAAGAGGCACGTAAGGTGCTTCACCCTCCGCCCGTGTTGCCACGCGACGTGTCGAGCAGAGCACTAGTTAGGTGTTTCTCGCCCCCCTGCGCCACCACGGTGACGAGAGAGTAGAAGGCTGTGGGTCTCGCCCGTTGCGTGGCCCGTGTCGAATTGACTTGAATCGTAGATGTTCGCCCTCCAGGGGGACACCGTGCTGCGGATAGGGCACCCTAGTTCTATCCGCCGCCGCCCGCTGCCACGGGACGAGCGGATTGAGAGTATAACGATGCGTGTTTTGCTTCCCGACGTCGGCACGTAGAGTGCAGACTCGCATGCGTTTGTTCGCCCCCCAGGCGCTCCCATGTGATGGGTGGTGTCAACGATCGAGGATTCCCCAAGGAATTCGTATAGATCCCAGATGAGGCCCAAGATTTCGATGGTTTGCTTTCATGGTTTTTGAATGGATCTAGATCGTAAGGCATACATCATATACGTACGACACGCTAGACAGACATATTGAATCTGGGGGTCGGATACCGAAACGTAGTGGGCTGGTGTTCGTTTGTCTTTGTAAGTCCACGTGCTTTTCGTCGGTCCCCCTTTTCCCGCGCTCTCCCTCTCTCCCTCTCTCGATCGTGCTCTTCATGCTTGTAAGATATGTTCTGCCTTCACTATGTTTCTCTCTCTCTCTGTCTCCCTTGCCCTTCCTCACTCCATCCATTTTTTCTCTATCTCATTTGTTGTTTTGCTTATCGCTCTCTCTCGCTCTCTTTCTCTCTGTCTCCCCAACTCCAATCCATCCCTTCCTGCCTTCACCTCCTCAGCCTCCCTCCTTCTCCCTCCCTCATTGTCCTTTCCTCTTCTTCCTCCCTCCTTCCTCCTGTCCCCTCTGTCCCTACATTTTTTCTCCCTCCATTGTTTCTCTTCCCTGCTTCCCCCTCTCCTCGTTCCCTTTTTTCCTTCCTATCTACCAGCTGGGAAGGGGAGCGGGGATCGATGATGGCCAGGTCGGGGGGGGGAACAGAGTGCAGATGAGGCGAAGGAGCAAACGTTGTATGCGGAGAGTGGAGGAGGCTATGTCAATCAAGCGATGCGAATGGCAATTATCAATCAAGCGATGCTGCTGACGAATGCTGCTCGCCTTTTTTGTGATCAACACGATCTGCAGTCCGAGCCAGTACTGTTTGAGCACTGCCTGCTGTCGCGACAGCTCGGAGGGGTGATACGTATGGCGCGCAAGAGGCACCTAGAGCAGCCACAGTGTTCACGGAACAGGGATGCTGCAGCGACGGCCTGCAACGATCCTCAGTGTATGCCGGAGGGCAACCATCTCTGTGGAGGCGGGACGCCCGCCTGGGGAGAGGCATACTTGCCTGAAATTGCACTTTTTTGGTCGGCGGGGCGAGAGCGAACCTCTTCCGCAAAAAGCTAGGCGGGCTACGCACAGCTTTATTTAGGGAGACAGGGCACAGGCGGGCGGGGCCTCAGGCGGCCGGAGTGGGCGGGGCCCGGGGTGCAGGCGGTGCCGAATAGCTTGCACAGGAAAAGGTACGCCGCGGACAGGGGCCGGAGGCGAAGATCCGGAGGGTGAGCGATGTGGTGTTGCCATACCCTCCCTCCTGAAATCGCACACGCTCCACCCACAAGAACGGAGGTCGACGGCTAAGCGGGCAGAGTGGTGGATGAATTGGTGGACGCTTAAACCCACTTCCCTCCAGCGAACCACGCGGGACAGAATGTACGCCCTCAAGGCCCGTGGGAACAACGCCCACGCTGGAGCGGCACAAAGGAGGGGGACGACGATCATAAGGAAGAACAGGCCAATGAGGAGGATGATTCGTGTAAGGATAAGGAGAGAGACATGGAGGAGAGGGAGAAGAATAATGCGCATGAGGAGAAGAAGACGCAGGAGCAGGGACATGAGGACGAGCATGAGCATGAGGAGGCGGATCAGTAGGACTAGGAGGAGGATGCTTGAACTGTACATCAGCTATGAGTCCAGTCCCATTGCCGACCACATCTGGGCGCAAGGGGGTCACGGCGGTGCAGAGCAAGAAGGGTGAGGAGTGATGATGAGGAGTGAGGAATGACGACGCGGAGTGAGGAGTGAGAAGTAAGGAGGAGGAGGATGAGGGGGAGGAGGAGGAGGAGGAGGAGGAGAAGGTGGACGAAGAGGAGGAGTTGGAGGAGGAGGGGGAGGAGGAGGATCAGGAGAAGGAGGAGTAAGAGGAGGAAGAGGAGGAGGAGGAGAAAAGTAGGAGGAGGAGTAAGGGTAGGATGATGCTGCTGCTGCTGCTGATGATGATGATGATGATGATGATGATGATGCTGATGATGATGATGATGATGCGGATGATGATGAGGATGAAGCTGATGATGATGGTGATGGTAATGGTGATGGTGGTGGTGATGACGATGATGATGATGCTGCTGATGAGGATGATGAAGTTGAGGATGAGGATGATGAGGAGGAGGAGGAGGAAGAGGAGGAGGTGGAGGTGGGGGAGGAGGAGGAGGTTGAGGAGGAGGAGGAGGAGGAGGAGGAAGAGGAGGAGGAGGAGGAGGAGGAGGAGGAGGAGGAGGGGGAGGAAGGGGAGGAGGGGAAGGAGGAGGAGGAGGAGGAGGAGGAGGAGGAGGAGGAGGAGGAGGAGGATGGGGAGGAGGAAGGGAAGGAGGAGGAGGAGGACCAGTGTAAACCCAAGAGCCACCAACGATGTTGGAATAAACCCTCCCCCCAAGCTCTCTCGTCATAGGCCCCTACAACGGTTCATTTTCACAGAGGGACTTACCTTGTTGGAAGACAATCGTTTGAAGGCCCTGAAGCATGCCAAAACATGTTCTTGGGATTCCAACGCCACCGGATAAACCTGAGTATTACGTCTTGACGATCTTGAATCGTGCCAGGACGCCATTCCTGGGACTTCAACACCGCGAATCATGGTCACAGTTGCGCCCTCATCATCGTGGATCCTTCCAAAACACCGTTTCTGGTACGTCGATCATGGAAATCCGTGAAACTCCTGTATATTGTAGAAACGAATGTGCACGGCGCTGAAGCGAGAGTCACATTTTGAAAAGGAACCGTCCTTAATCCGTGAAGCTCTTGCAGTTTTTGTCAAACGAATGTGCGCGGCGATAGGGTGAGAGTCACATTTTGAAAAGGAGTCGCCCTCAGTCCGTGAAGCTCTTGCAATTTGTGTCAAATGAGTGTGCGCGGCGCTACGGCGAGAGCCACATTTTGAAAACGATCCGCCCTCAATTCGTGAAGCACTTCTAATTATGAAAATGAATGTGCGCGGCGCTACGGCGAGAGCCACATATTGAAAACCACTGGCCCGAATGTGCGCGGCGCTAACGCGAAAGCCACAGTTTGAAAACCACCAACCCTCCATCTGTGAAGCTGTTACCAGTTTCCAAGCTTCAGGGTCACACATGGTGAGGAACTCAGGCGAAACGCCCGGCCCGCCCTAAAAATTGGCCTCGGGGTGCGACAGGGAGAAGTTGTTTTCAAGGAAAAGGAATGGGGGAGGAGGGGGAGAAGGGGGAGGAGGAGGAGGAGGAGTAGGAGGAGGATGAGGAGGAGGAGCAATTGGAGGAGCAGGAGGAGGAGGAGGGGGAGGAGAAGGCGGTGGGCAGAGTCCCAGAGACCAGCCCCTGCGGCACGTCGCCTCCCCTGCGCCAG